ACCCGCTAATATTTGGACGCAAAATGGTGCATGAAGCTCATTGGCTGGAGTGGGATAGGCTGCGCAATAGCTCATCCATGTTGTTTGATAATGGCTAAGGGCAAAACTAGGAAGCGTTTCATTTACGCCGCATGCACGTCGTCGGGTCTCAGCAACAGACAGCTGCAGCGAAAGACGACTTAAACATTTCCACCTGTAGAATCACATATTTCAATGAATTTAATTTTTTAAACACTTTATTTTACATTTTCAAAAATACACTTATGATTCCTTACAATGGTCAGCAATTACATTGCAGTAAACCAATAGTATACAATGCGTTTTGGAATGTTAAGTTTTTGCCACCGTCGTAATAAGCCACAATTGTAGAAAAACTTCATTTAGGGGCTAAATTAACTTTGACATCACAATCACAAATTAGTAACAAAATGTTTGCACAATTACAATAGTTTGTTTTATGTTTTTCATGACATGACACCGTAGGGTCTTCTTTTTTCATCAATGTCTCTTGATATGGATTCTTAGATGAATACAATAAAGCTGTTTATATACAATTATATGACTTTAAATATGTTCATGCCACTGTCGGGCTCATTGTTTACCTAGCAGTGCATGACATTCATATTTGTTCATGAAGTTCACTATTCACTTCATGCAAGATAGTGCTGTATATTCTTTCCCACTTAGTAATTCATTTTCAGCATTTACATTTCTAAGATATTTATTTGCTCCAGTTTATAACAAGAGAATAAAAGGATGTTATCCAGCTTGGGTCCTTGCCTGTTCTTTCACGTGAACGTAAAATAGTTATATGGGAAAATTCATAAAATATTAGAGACTAGGACGGCACACAGAGAAGGCAGTTTTGATTAAAAATCTATCCGTAGTACACAGGTGTGGTAACACGTAGGAATACGACAAAGTGTGTATAAAAGGTGATCTTATAGTTGAAATGTGCAAACGTGTACTCGAAAATATTCACGAAAACATTAACTCTTCTAAAGTACAGAGTGAGTTATTTCAAGTGAAAGAAATGAACACCACGTTCCCCTTAATATATCTGATAAAAAATGATAGACATCTTAAAGTTCAGATACTCCTAATAAAGCGATTGAGGCATTTTGAAATTTTGTCACTTCCTGTATTTCTCAGGCATTGCTGAGCGATCAGCGTGATTTTAAAAAATGCTAGAGGAACGCACTCCAATTACACAACTTCAAATTCCAATTACACAACTGTGGTTTTCCGATTGAAGAAATTAACCAAATTTCCGATAGAAGAAAACCACATAAGTCCATGTTTTCAAGATAAACCTTGGACAACCGAGAGCAGTATAGATACTGATTCCAATCACCATACACAAAACTCTATACGATTAGAACAACAGAAATTGTCGACAAAGTGGTGTCGACAACAACGAAGCATTTTTTAGCAAAAAATACATCAGAAACATTTGTTAATTTCATAATGTAAAACACGCTAGTGCATTTTTTACACTCGAAATGACTCATGCTGAACCGATACTTCTAGGGGCACAACGAAAATGTAGTTCAATTTCATCCACAAAATCGAAGCATTATTTGGTTTCAAGTTTTCCTCAAAAGAGAAGCACACATCACCTTCTGATTGCACATTCTTTTCATAATTAGACGATAAAATCTGGACTTCAATAAATATCTTGAGAGACCACAAAATACGCCTATGAAACAAATAACAAATGATAGTTCTCACAAGGCACTCTTATCATGCGTGTTATTAACATTGGTAACATGTTTGAAGAAACAAAGGTTCATTTCGAACTGTTGTTTTTTTGTTAAACATCTCTTACGAAGGCACACAGTCACATAGTTCTCTTCGATTTGAGGGAAGGTTTCCCCATGAAACTGCTAAAGACTAAAAGGTACTTCAATGTGCACAAGTGCTTATTTCTAAGGACGCATTGTAAAGTTATGCACTGGCTGTGAATCACACAAGCATCGGTGAGCACGCTGGAAGCTTGTGAAATTGTAGCAGTTTCAACATGTACGCATAAATATTATTAAAATAACACCCATTTGTCTCGCAGGATGCAAAATGTCTTTATTGAACTTTAATTGCTCTACCGTGAAGGCCTTTTGCAACTTTACTTGAGCCAATCAGAGGTGCTCGGGTCACTTCCTGCGATTCCCTGGCATGCATTGGGCTTCCTCCTCCCTGCGACTGTATTACTTGCTCACTTCAAGTTTTTAGACGTCGTTAGCAGACCTGCTGTCAGACTACGTCAAGTACCACCTTCTATATTCTCACGCCATATTCTTATCCTTAGCACTGTAAGTGTAGTTTAATTTTATCCTGGAAGATGGCGGTGACCCACCCAATCTGGAACGGCCCGACAGCTATCTACGGACAACCAGGGTTGCCAGATTGGGCGGAATACCGCTTTTTGGGGTGGAAAACAGCCCTCTCTCGCGGGACAAAACTTTGATTTCGCGGAATATTGCTTAAGAGGCGGGAATGCATCGACACATGTGCGGCTTTGGGTGGGGTTTCAGACGACGAAATTTCCTTGTATGTGACAGTGAGTTTTTTTAGCTTTTTACATTAAACATGATTTTTTAATAATAGTTTATTAATTAGTTCAAATTTACTTTGAGAAGTGAGTAATGTTAGTTTTTAGACCTCTAGTCATTCTCATTTGTCGTGCACAACATGAGTATATAATATTGGCAGTACTTATAGTTAATTTTGGAACAAGCCTTTTGAAGTACAGTTTCACTGCCAGCATTTTTCGTTTAGCCGAAGGGAATAAGCATGCATATGTAAGCATTTCTGTATCCTTTAAGCGCGGGGAGTAGGAAAATAATTTATCCCTGATAGTATTCATACCATCTGCTGTAGTCAAAAGAATAGTCATAACTAATTTTTCAATAATAAGACACAAATGATTATTACAAAAAGTATACGTTTTATGTAAATATTATTAATAATTACAATGTTCATAAATAAAAAAATAACTAATCAACCATTTCGTAGGGTCACTATCTCAAAAAAACCTTCTAATACCAATATTTTAATACCAAATTCAAATTCCCCGCTTGGAATGTTCCATTTTTCTTATTGGGCGGATTTACATCCATCTAGCGGCGGATGTTAGTACGAAGCATCTGGCAACCCTGCGGACTACACCTCCAGGTATCTCCCCGAGCTGGGCAGTGCCACTTCCAGAACAATCCCTACAATGATCCCGGCTGCTCTCCAGACGTGAGGTAGCATTTGTGGTCTAGTGTGTACAACCAGTACATCATGAATCACCCCTGCACTAGAATCTTTCTTCTTCCTCAGTACAATAGAGCGAGTGTTCTACACGACATGACGAAAAACACGAATTTTATACCCTACTAGTGCACCTCTTCTAAAAGTCTCATTGTAATCAATTTCCTTCCAAGTCGACCTTTCGATCTGATGCGATGCACCTACATTGTCGCGGTCTCTGGGTCTTCCGACCACGCTCACAAAGTCTGGGAGTTCAGACCGAAAGATCGCGGGTTAGATACCGCCTCGGGCATGGTTGTATTTGTGTTCGTCCTTTAACACCCTATCACTACCATATCATGTCATCGTCACAGTTACCATACCGTTAAATGTAATAGTGCTCGCTAATGACCTAGATGATGTGACCTTAAATAATAATAATAATAACAACTACAACAAAAGTGTGGGAGTTGAAGATTATGTGATCGAACGTGTTTTCTACCCAACAGATCTAAAATTTTTGTTTGTTTAGTTGTTTCTTCCTGCTCTTCCCACATGTCCCGCATAAAAGGGTATACACGGTGGTATCTTGATGTAAATTTGGTTGTGATTTGGTGGTGATGATTATATTTTCTTATTCTACTGTCGGCAAATTTAAAGTGAACACATGTACAGGCGCAGGCCAGGAGGAAAATGTATGTTACATACGTGGATTACTAGATCGTACTTCCCTAGCGACCCGAACGAGCATTCTGATGTTTCCGTAACGTTCGCAAAGGCTTCGATGTTCCTGCTAAGAGTCCACGTTTACTCGCTCACACAAAAATCCTTCTCTTCCGCTACACACAAAAAATCCAGCGTTTCCGCTTCCCACACACAAAAATCATAGTCTTCTGCTTACAAACACAAAGCCATCCTGCTCTTCCGATCACTGCATTCTCCTCCTCCTCGAGGAGCAGGACAAAGGTCGGCTCAGCCACAGAATAGAGAGTATAAATAGAAACTTCCCGACACTACACGCGCCAAATCTATGCGGTGTCCGCCATATTGAAACCGAGTACACTGACCCCAAGCCACTAAGATCATCTGTGCGTTAGGTGGCATTGGCTCTCCGCTGCCGTTAGCTGTGTCTCCGTTACTGTGTTCTGATTGTATGGCATGTGGTTTTTGCAGTTTTCAAATCGTGAATTTTGTGTAACCGATTGTTGCTCGTGATTTAATCTGTTTTGTTGTGGATATTAAATTGTAATGTAAATATTTTATAGTTCATAATGTGTTAGTAATGAGAAAGGTGTACGGCGATGTATTTATTATTTCCTGGCTATTGGGTTTCACATAATTTTCTGGCCTATTATTCCACCTACTTTCCTCACATACTTACATTTTTAGTGTTTTTTCATTAATATCGTAAAATACAATTGATATATTTATTAAACTTTAATAGAAAAGCATGTTTCATTGAGGTTGAGAATTCTCTATTTCTATGTACAATTATTGTGATTACTCTGTTTCAATATGGCGACCATCGCAACCTCGCTGCCTCTCGTAGATCAAAGGAATGACTGTCCAGTTTCCTTTCTGCATACTTTGTATTCTGTGGCTCAGCCGTCAGTAGATATCTCACTTCGCACACAAAATACTACTCTTTCGCTCACTCACAACCATTCTCTCCTTCCAGAGAGTCCTCAGGACCGAGACGAGCAGACGTCCTCAGCGCCGTCACAGGGTACCTCGCTTCACACACAAAATCAGCCTGCTCTGCCGCTCACTGCATTCTCCCTCTCCTCTCTGTCTGCTCCTCCTCGAGCGGTCCGCGGGGGCGTGGTCTGCTCAGCAGCCAGTGGCTGCATCGCCTGACGCAAAAAAATCAACGCCTCCCCTCCCTCTTTCCAATCTCCTTCCCTCTCTGTCCCCGTTCCCGGGCGGCTCGAGGACCGGGTCGAGCGGGCCCCATCAGTGGATATCTCGCTTCTCTCTCTCTCTCTCTCTCTCTCTCTCTCTCTCTCTCTCTCTCTCTCACACACACACACACACACAGAAAAATTTCGCTCACTCATTCCAATGTCCTCTCCCTCTCCTGCCCGAGCACCCCGAGGACCGGGACGAGCTGGCGGATACCTCACTTCGCACACAAAGAAAGTCTGCCCTTCCCCTCACTCACTATTACCTTCTCTCTGTGTCCTCCTCCCCGAGTGGCCCATGGAGCGACGCGAGGGGGCGTGGTCGGCTTTGCCGCCAGTGGAGATCTCGCTTCGCAGACACACCCACCCAATCCTGCCCCTCCGCTCCACAGAAGCCAAAGCCCTCTTGCGCGCCCTCACTGCGTTCTCCTCCTCCTCCTCCTCCTCCTCCCAGTCCGCTGCGGAGCTAGAGGGGGCGCGGGCGTCAGCGGAAGTGCGCGGGCGCGGGCGCGTGCACGCGCATGTGCTCCACCAGGCGGAAGCGCTCCGTGAAGCCCTTGCCGCATGTGGGACACTTGTGCGGCCGCTCGCCCGTGTGCGTCAGCTTGTGCCGCTCCAGGTTGGACGGCCACGGGAACACCATGCCGCAGAAGTTGCACGCGTGCGCCTTGCCCGAGCGCCCGGCCCCGCCGCCACCACCGCCACCGCCGCCGCCGCCGCCATGCTGCAATGAAGAGCCACGCTCAACATACATAGAGTGTTTCGGATGAAGGGCTTTGGACGGAGTAAAAAGATAACCCACACCAGCCACAGGAGGCTTTTTACATACTCATATTTCCTCATTATCATCAAGGACCGTCATCATAGGCCGATTGTTCTATTCCGACGCAAAGATGACTGCCGCATGGTTCCTTTAGGTGCGTGGGGCTTATTTTTTCGTTCCTTGGGGTGGAGTAGTTTATATTTCTTTCCCTATTTATGGATTTGAATATTTGAATTTGGGGAAAGCATGGCTTATACGGCTACTTTTCAGACAATGAGTCATTTCATGCGAATAAATCACTAATGTCATTTCCATTAGATGAAAAATGTTTTTAATGTGATCTTCGTGTACAGCAATTTCTTGACGATATCTTTTTTTCTGCAATGTCTAGAAAATTGTACTGAAAGTGAGTCGAAGCTTTGAGGATTTTTTTACGTTCGGTCAAAAACTTTACTTTGGATACAAACCACGAAATAAAATGTTGTGAATTAACGAAATTGACGTTCGTTATTATGGCAGCCCTTTATCGGATCCGGCCTTACGATTACACCCGATACTAGACTGTAAACTCCCGACGTCGGCCGCGAGAATTGCAGTGCACTCGCTGTTCCCAGACGTCACTAATGACCTTTTGAGTCCACTCAGAGCTTCCAATCGTAGAAATACGCAAACAGTTCAGGTGACATACAAGTTGCGATGAATTGGACAATTATAAAAGAACTTTGTGCGAGAACTGTGTCTGAGATCAAAACAGTAAAGGAAATTATTTATTGCTAATATTATAAAGAACACGCTGGTGTTTTTCCGCGTGAAATTACTCGCCTGTATTTCTTGTTCATATTGGGCTTCGAGGGAAAACAAGCGAAAATATTAAAGTTAACAAATAGCGGGAGGATAACTATTACTGGTATGGCCTTTCTCGTTACTGCTCCAAGCCCTTCAAATATAAAATATAATACATTTCAAGCTATGCGCAGAATAATAAAAAGAACGATTCCAAGACAAAACATGAAATTTTGTAATACAATTGTTGATATACGGAACTGCTTTAAGAATAACACAAAGAGAGGTAATATTCAGGAAGAAGAAATTATTTTTTCAGGAAAGTTGAAGGTTGCGGTTCCAACTTTCCTGCAGTAGGGAGAGGATTGGAAGAAGAGAAAGGATGTGAAGAAGCAAAAGGTTTAGGGAGGGATAGGCAGAGCCGATATATAGAAACGGGGGCTGAGTGCAAGGAGTGGGTGTAGTACAAAAAACGGGTGAAGTGTGATGAGCGGGACAGATTGAGCAGAATGGGGCAAGATGGGCAGGGCGGGGGGTGAGCAGGATAGACACTGAAGACCAGATAGGGGCGACCGGGAGAGACGGGCGAGGCTGCTTAATGGATAATTGTGTGAAATAAAAACCCCGGCATCGGCGAGTGTCACTTGCTCATACAGAGTGTCTCGGTGTATGGTCTATACCAATAAAGACAGGGCAGGCAGAAGAATAAAAATTTGACCACTTTTTACCAGTGATCATATAGATGGAAATTTTATATCAAATGTCTCATTTGCCTAGTTGCTAGGCCACTCCGTTCATTATACATTTGCAGACGGTGGTATTAGGAATTATTGTCTTCAAAGTGAGGGCCCAGACACATCCGAAAATGCACGAATAATGTCAAAGTTTAGCAACATCTGACCAATGCTAACGTGCGCTGAGATAATGCACGAAATGGTGCTTGTTTTGTTTTTGCTTTTTCTGTTATGTCTACGGAAAATCAAATTAACTTCGATAAACAAGAGAGCAATTCTCACTCAGTCGGTGGTGACTTAATGTAAACAGATCTCAGCGCCCCGTCTGCAAATGAACAAGTGACATTTCAGTGCGGTATACGAAATCCCCTTGAATGCCGCAAACGTGACGTGCAAGACACTACAGCATTGTAAGTTGCCTAACGATCAGGGGCAAAAGTCACATTTAACTCGTTGATATGAAATTTCCCACGTGTTCATTGGCGAAAAGTTATCATTTTCGATTCTTCTTCCTGCTCCTAGAACTCTATGAGACAGTGATTACCGGTCGTTGCTTGGAAATGTATTTCACACATTTATCTATGATATTTTCTAGAAGTGTATTGGCAAAAAGGGATCATTTCCCTCCCTCTTCATGCCCTACACTTCGATTTTTCAACGTGGCGTCTCAAAGTCACGCACGAAAAACTGATTGGGAAGGCAGATTCCAACAGGGAGCCGTAAAGGTACGAGTTGAAATGACGTTGCAGCTCCCTATTGGAGTCTGCCTTCCCTCTCCCTATTTCATGCGTGACCTTGAGACGCCACGTTACAAAAAAATCGAAGTACTCGTATATGGGTCATTGGATTTTTATGACGTGACGCGTCAAGGCCTGGCTTCACGATGGATATGTCACGGCATTTCGCGTCTTTCTCGGCCGTGCCGCTAGATGTATGATCGCAGCACTTTATACGGTGGCGACCCTGCTACATCTAGCTGCAAGATTGAGATAGACGCGACATGCTGTGGCATATTCCACCGCGAAGCCGTGCCTTGACGCGCCACGTCATAAAACCGGGAGTCCAGAAGTGGAGAGAATCGCGACGCACCTGCACCAGGGCGCCGGCGGCGGGCCCCTGGGGCCCCGGGGGCTGCGGCAGCTGCGGGGGCGCGCGCGCGCCCACCACGCTGGAGCGCAGGTTGACGCTGAGGCTGGAGCTGAGGTTGACGCTGAGGAAGTGCGTGGCCTCGGCGGGCGCCGCCAGGCCCATTCCCATGTCGACGCCCATCCCCAGCGCGCCCAGCCCNGGGCGAGCGGGCGGACCGCCAGCGACGTCGCCTCCTCCCTCGGCGGCGCGGGGAGCGATCCTGCGTGCATACACACACACACTTCCAAGTCTTGTGGTTGCAAAGAAAGTTCACGCTGGCTGACACTTGTGTTATACAATCAGTTTAATTAATTTTGTACTTGCGATCTACCAGTATGATGTGATTAAATACGACTTTAAATGAATAAGTGTTCATTTTTTAAAACTTTTTACTGGCAAGTTATTTATTATTGCCTTCAATACGGAGCTCGATATACACTGAATAACTTACCTGGATCAAAGGGGCCGTGATTACGAGGGAAATATGAAAACGGTTGAATGATGCTACATATGCTCTTACGAAGGGAATTATAAGAGAGAAATATGAAAACAGAATTCGAGCCATCTTGTTAATAAGTAAATCTGAATCATTAACATTACGGAGAACATACGAATATTTTATTACCACGGACGTTAACTGGTTCTAATGATCTCAGACGAAGGGCCATTTTGACGCTGCTCGATCATTAGAACGATCATTAGAAGTTCCTTGGTGCATAAATAAGTACTCTTTTATTTGAAATCATTTAAACAACCATAAAAGCATTTCAATGAATTTTACGTATTTTTTCAAGTGTCTTTTACGAGTAACGAGTACTTGTTTTGCGTAACAGAGTAGTCTGCGTCCGTCCGTCACTCACGGTTAGACCCTTCACAATTCACCAATCCGCGCAAGCGACGTGTCATGAAGCGTCAGCCAGAGGATTCTAAGAAATATGTCTAAAAACGTGTTTTGGATTCTCTTATAGAATACACAGAGTTGTTCAACATGTCATTAGATTCCTATCAACAAAACATCGATAGCCACTGATCTGAGCCAGTTCCTTCTGCAAAAACTCTAGAAGAAAAAAAGCGCGTATTTTTTTTTTTTAGTTTCAATGCACCTACGGGTACACAGGTGAAACGCTACGCTAGTAATTCCTATACTAGCTTTCGTGCACTTACATGAATCTTCACAACTTGATTCATTACATTGACAATAATTAAATATATTTTCGTAATGTTACAAAAACTTAAAGAAGTATTTTGTTGATACTTTTTCATTTTTCAATGCCTAAGAATGCTCGAGTCGAGCGACGAAATATGTTTAAAATGAATTTTTATTAAAAAACTTGCAAAGTTAAAATAAAACTTTATAATGGAAATATTTGCCGCAGACACCGCGCTGAGAGTATCGATTAAATAAGTTTCTGAGTCAATGACCCCAATCTCGAACATCTCATGAGGTTTTTTCGTTATATCTTTTGAACCACATAGCAAATGCTACAAAGACTTCTTGTTTTGTTACTGGACATAAGTGTAGTTTCACTATCTGAGCTCGTTTTTTTAGCTCAGTAGGGAATATAGTGATTTGAATAATAGTTCATGTTTTCGAGGCAGACGAATCCTTCAATTGGAGGTCTTAATGGGAAATAATATCCACAATTTGTAGGGGCTGTCCAATACTCCCTCTCCCCCCTGTAATGCGCGCTTGATCCCCCTCTAATAATTACGTAACGCTTGCAACCAGACACCCCCCCCATTTCAATAAGTAAAAATCAATTACAAATCAAAAAATCAATTAATAGCATTTGTGTTATAAATTAAAATTATAATTATTAAAGTGAGAATTAGTTGGTGGTGCGGACTGCACTTAATAAGACTAGGGACAAGTTGAATGAAAGGACGCATATGCACCGTCGTGGATAATGCACAGGTTCGGCGCCTAATTAACTGGATTATAGAATATATTGTAGACCTTTAATTTATTATATTTTTAATTTCATTTGTTAATATAATGTTGTAGTATAAGACTGAATAAAAATATTTCAGCAAAGTTGAAAGATTTTAAAAATAAATATCAGCATTACGTAGCAATACACTAATACCTCCTACCCCTACATAACGCAGAGTAACGCTAACCAAAACCCGCTCCCTTCTCTTCAGTGTTACGTAATTTATGAAGTAGCCCTAATGCTCCTTTTCCCAGCGACTAGTTTTCATTATGGGAGTGATTATTCTATTATCACATAAATCTAGCTCAAAACGCTCGTTGATACCTGTATTCATAATTCACCCCAAAGTATACGAGTTAGGGTTGGAATTTCAGAGTTCATCAAAACGGGCACAAATAGCACTTCTCCCTCATAGCACGTCACACTGTTATCTACTGTTTTTTGAAGTGAAGTAAACATAATGCAACCAGAGGAATGAAAGCCCCTCTCAACGGTCGACGTCTGTTAAGAAGTTTAACTGTCAGCTGGTCCCTTCGAACAAACAAAGAAAACCAGTCGTAGCTAAAGATCGCGGATGAGAACTCTAAACAGATGTTTCTTATTCTTATATTATTTTTCTTATAAGATGGTGTGGGTGGTTGGGCTGCTAACTCTACTGACTAATTGGAACTCTCATATTTGTCTCCACTGATCGTTCTGTTGGGAGCAATGCTGCCCCAATCCATTTTAAACTAGAGGTGCAGCAACAGCACAGACTTTCTCGTATTATTGCTAACAGTCACATATTACAGAATTGCAACTTCAATCACACTGACTCATCAGCCATCACAAACTCTAATGATACAATTGAAAATTAGGGCAAAACTACTAAAAGATCATTATAAAAAACATATTATTCAAATTATTTATAATACTACTATTGTATCTGGAAAGAAATCCCTAGCTTCAGTTCATTGATTATTTTGTATTTCTTGGCGCTTCAACTGCTGCGGCCATTAGTCCGGTAAGTGTAGTGGATGTTACTTTCCGAGCGCTGCCTGTGTTCCTTGCTTTCATAGATCGTGTTATTCGGGCCAACTTAATGTCACTTTGACGGGATCAATAGCTTTTATATTGCGGGCGTGGATCAGAAAAATTGTATATAACAGTAATTAAATATCGAATTTTGAAGAATATATTTTTTAGAGAAAAAACGCTCTTCAGTAATATAATAGGAGGAGGGTGTCCGAAAAATTGCCCGCTCTGGTTGCACTAGCACCGCAAGTAATATGCATTGTCCCGTTTGTGTATTTAGCACGCATTAGGAACCGCGCAATATGACGGCCGACACCGGTACTTTTAATACATTGAGCAAAAGATTTCATGTTGGAGGCCTTTATGGGAAATAATATCCAAAATTTGTTGGGGACGTCCAATACTGTGGAAATTAAATCAAATATTGTATTATTTACGAAATCTAAGTGTTTCGTATTAACTTTATTTAACCAGTTTAGTCATTTGTAAACCGTTTTTGTTGGATCACCCACTTCAATGCGACACTGAAGCAAATTAATCTCCGCCATTAGCTCTGAAAAATCGACACTAAATCGTTTTGCAATTGAGGAGTTTCTCACAAGAACCAAACAAGCCCAGAATTCTGTAAATTGAGATATTTCACAAAGTTATTTACAACTGGCATTGTCTGTTGGAACATTTACTTTTGGCAAGTGCCAAATATATTGAAGCATACGACGCATTGAAGGTGGGGAAAATCATAAATTCATTTCTACGCACGTCCTGGTTATGATGTTTTAGGTGTATATTAAAAAATATCGAATTTTGTCTAGCTTAGTTCTTGTAAGACACCCTTGAATGAAATACGGTAAAAAGTACGGCTTCTTTATCCAAAATATATTATGTTCAATATCTTTGCAAGCCGCAGAACTTTGTTTTCGGCCCGGACGGTGCAAGGTATGAGTGACCCAGCTTCCTTACGCATCTGGCATACAATGTCAACGTTTTGTACATAACATTTTGTAATTAATTTGTATGATTTATACTTCACTTGTAAAATTCACGTATTCATGTAATTTTATTTTAGCTCTGAGGATGATCACTAAACAATCGAAAAGATCTTTAGCATAAATATTTTTGATACCGGACAACATATTTTATTTCCGTATTTAATTATTAGAAGGTATCTAATCAAAACCCTCGAATTACTTTGATATCTCCAGGAGCAGTATTTGCCATGGCACAGAGCCCGCTGCTCAACGGGGAAGCTAAGAACTACCGCATCGCAGAGGACGGACGCGCCCTCCCCTGCGCCGGGCGACGTCACGAAGGAGCGCGCTACAGTAGAGGGGGAAGCCTCCACTCTGGCCGCCGCCGGTTACAGTTACTCTAAGGAGGGACCGCTTCGACAGATCGGGAAACAGAAGAACGTCACGTAGGGCGAAGACATTGCAAAAGACAGTGATAATCTCGTTTACAAATGAGCTAACGTAAACGAACGCACCGACAAAATAAGTGCATGGGCATCTTCTGCAGTGATGTTGCCAACAGTGGTCAAGCTGTACCTGTCAAAGCGGTCCCTTCTTATAGTAAGCTCTGTTATATGCGGTGGACCGCACCGACCGGACGTTTCCTAAACGAGTGACTCAGCGGCAATCAGTTATTGAATATATTTTGTAGTGCAGCGACTAGTTATTCTTGCGACAGACTTTGGCTAAGATAACGGACTTGATTTTGAGATATTGAACACCGGCTCACATTCTTGCATTGTATGATGACTTGGCATGTACAGGTGTCCGGGAAGAAAACGTCGAAACTTCAAAAATAAGTTCTTAAGGCCTTATTATAAGCATATTTTGTCTAATAAACTACTGGGATATTACAAGTGGTTGATATACAATAAGCACTAAAAGTTGGCTTGAAAAAATGCGCTCTAGACAAGAATTTGCATTGCACACGCATAGAAACATGTAAATTGTTTATTTAAAAAAGAAATTAATATATTTGTTCAGAAAACAATAACAGAATTAAAAAAAGTACTGAATTTACACAATTCCACAGCTTTCTTTAATTTCTGGGTTAATTTTTCTTTCTGAACAAAAATATTCATTTCTTTTTAAAATAATAAACAATTTACATGTTTCTGTGCTCTGCAATGCAAATTTTTGCCTAAAAGTATTTTTTCAAACCAACCTTTGAATGCTTGTCCTTCAGCTTCAGACAGCCATTCAGAATATCCACATAGTTTATTAGAGAAAAAATGTGCTTAAACTTGTCTAAGATATTATTTTCG